GCAGCCGGAAACGCACAGCGCCCCTTCTTGCCTTACCCTGCCCGGGACACCCACGTCCCGCTGAGAGCAAAAGTCTTGCAAAGCATGGGAAACCCCTATAAAAATAGTAAGTAAGAAAAAATAAAAAGAGACGTGTTCCTAACTCCCTCTACCTAGCCAGAGCAGGAAAGACCTCGTTCCCTGCTGCAGTTTCCGGCAGGGCCCAATGTGCTTTCTATTTTCTGCCGGTTTCCGCAGCGTTGCCTAAATAAAGCGCCTCCTCTGCAGGGGCCCGGGCCCTGGGTAAGCTCTCAGATTTGCCTGAGCTTCCTCCTCCCTGCCCAGGGCTGTTGCAGGTGAGCAGGAGTTGGGGGGGGGGGTTGCTGGAGGAAGCCAGGGGGCACGGTGGGATGCAGAGGCCTGGGCACCAACCCAGTTGTACCTTTCCAGCTAGGAAAACAGGCTCAAAAATGAAAGCTTCTGAAAGACGTGGGGATAAAGGGGAAATGAGAGAGAAACTGAGAAAGAGAACAGAAGAGAGGGAGAGATCTCTCTCCCGTCCTCTTAACCAGCCCCAGGACTGGCCTGGGTCAGCTCCCACCGGGTCACATTACTTCTCACCAGGACAAGGCTGGTGGCCTGGCCTCCCCAGGTCAGCTGCCAGTGGTCTGGGGAGCAATGAGGCAAACTGGGCTGCAAGCCCCATTGCCCTCTGGGGAAGCTGAGTGATGGGTCCTCATTCAGCGACCCGACTAGACAGTAACACTGTCCCAGGTCCCCAGCAGTGAGGGACTGGTGAGGGAAATGTGGTGACTGCAACTCCCCTGCTCCCGGGACTGTCCCATCCTGATAGCAGCTCCCCAGGCCCCTGAAGTCCACTCCAATTCCTCCTTTTAGACGGCCAGCCCAGGTTCCTGCTTGCTCTCCCCTAATGCCCAGTCCCCCCAAGTGCCCCATGAAAAAGCCGAGCTGGAACAAGGCTGAGTTTAATTTGCTTTGAGTTTGCTAATTGAGGGGGAGGACGGTTCATTTCTCCCCGGCGCTCGCCCAAGGCGCGCGTCGGTGCGCTCGGGGCTTGACACGCACACAAAGCCCCCAGGCAGCGTGGGCAGCGAGGCGGACAAAGACCACCGCCGCCTCGGCCATCCAGGAGAAAGCCGCGGGCGCGCCTGTGCGCGGTCGCGCACCAACCCGCCAGGCCCTCCTCGGTTTTGTCCTGGGGGACGTTTTAAAACAAAAGCTTCGACCTCTTTGCGCCTCCCAGAAAAAGTGTTACTACTTAATCGGCCCGAAAACGTTACAGTTTGCCGAGAACTTTGACCCCGCCCCGCGGCTCCGCGTACAGTAGCGCCTACTGTAGCCCTAAGCCCCCTCCCCGCCCCGGGGCAGGCCAGAGCCAGGCCCGCCTCGGGACTCCGGCGCAGGAAGGGTCTGTCCTCTGGGGCAGCCCCTCTCCGCAGCCTTCCAGCTCTGTTTCTCTGATTTAGGGACACACCCAAGATGCCTGGCTTACGCCGCTGCCGTCTGACTCTCCGATCACCTCAACGGGAGTAACTGGAGCCGTCGGTGTGAGCGAGGGCCTGCAGTCGCACAGAAGTCGCCCTTAACCCGCTCCCAGCCGTCTCCAGCCTCTAGTCCCATACACCCCCGGCCCCCTGCTGCACTCTCCCTCTTGCTGGACCCCAGCCGAGTCACTAGACTGTCACCGCAAGTCTCACCGAAGTGCACAGGTGTCTTAGCCAAGAGCTGCCAAGCATGCCCAGCCGGGCAGAAGGAGCGACTCGGCGCGTGCCCCTAGAGCCCGGGGTGGATAGGCTCACAGTGCCCTGCTGGAGCCCAAGGAAGCCAGGCACCTTGAAACATACACATCCTGAGCCCCGGCCTGGAACCAGCTCCCGGGCTCTTTGCCGAAGGCCCTCTCCCAGCTCCGCACTTGTGCGCCAGCTGCGTGGGGCCGGAGATCTGGGATGGGGTCGTCGTGCCGGGGCCGGCTCACCTGAGTTTCCGTGAGGCTGAGGCTGTGCGCCAGCTGCTTCCTCTCAGCGCCCACCACGTAGTGGTTTTTCTCGAAGGCGTGTTCCAGCCTCAGAAGCTGGGACGGGGAAAAGGCGGTTCTGATCCGTTTCGGCTTTCGGGCCAGCGCGTTGTGCAAAAGGAAGCTCTCTGGGCTTGTGTCGTTCCCTGCGGGGGACACAACAGAAGTTCTGGTTAGAGGGGGGCGGCCTGGCTGGGGCCGGCCGCTTCTCCCGAGCCGGGCTGGCGGGGCACCGCGCTCAGGGCCTTCGCGTAGCCGGTGGGGCTCGGCCTGAGGGGCTGGTGGCCCTCCGGAGGCGCGCGAAGAGGACACTGGCCCAGCAGCAGCCCCCGACCGCCTGGGCTGTACCTGCGCGGCCCCCACCCAGCAGCTGCCTCGGCGGGGCCAGTCCCCACGCTCCTGACCTCGGCAGGCTTCGCAGCTGCCCTGGCGCCGCGGGCCTCGCCACCCCCGCGCCGGGCGCCCGGGGCAGAGGAGGAGGCAGTAGGGGCGGCCCGGGGATTGGTGCCCACGACCCAAAGAAACGGCTTTCTCTTCTTTCTAACCCCTCGGAGAACTTTGACCCCGGGGGGAGAGGCGGTGGGCCGCTATCTGGAGCTTTCTCAGGGACGTACTTTAAAATTATTTAAATCTTTCTCCTCCGGGAAAGTGCAGAGGCCGGGGATTTGGTTGCAGCCTGGCTGGGACCGAAATCTCGCCAGCGGGTGCGCCCGGTTTCGGCCGCCGCTGCCTCCCGAGGACCCGGTTCCCCCGCTGCCCGGCTGCAGAGAACTAGGAGGCGCGAGCGAAGGGATCGAAACTCGGGGGTTACCGAGCTGTGGGCACCGATTGGGACTGTCCGCGGCCCCACACAATCCCGGCTACTCCGGGCCTGCTGTCGGGACCAAGAGCGTGGCTGGCGGGGAATGAGGAAAGGGAGCCCTAAACTTTGCGAGAGAGTTTCGGGTTCACTCATTAGGGTGGGAAATCGATTCACTAAAAACACAAAGAAAAACAAGCCGACAGTCCAGGCGGGAATGGAGGCAAATCCGGTCTCCAGAAATGAGAGAGAAAGGTTTTTGTTTTGTTTTGTTTTTTAAATTATTGGGGGAGTGGCATCTACCAGATTTTAGGCTCGGCAGGAGCTCAAAGGGTTAAAGAATGAACAAGCCGCTGAGTATTGATCAGCTGCCGCGGGAGGTATGTCTCTTCCCGGCTCCGATCGCTAAACTAATTACTCGACACTTTTTCTGGAGTTTTAACTTTCCTCCCACACACCCCCCCCGAAAAAAACCAAATAAATCAAAAAATAGCAAGAAAGGCAAACACCCAAACAGGTCTTCTTCTCCAGCCCGTCTCCCGACTCAGTTCATTTCTTTTAAAAGGAAAACAAAAACAAAAACAAAACCCAGACCGAACCTGACTTCCCGCGCGGCCGCTCGGCGCCCCGATGGAGCAGGTCGCGGCGAGAGCGCCGGCCCCGGAGGTTTCTGCCCGCGTGAGTTCCAGCCCCTCCCTGGGCCTCCAAAAAACAGAAAAGAACAAACCCCCAGACTCTGCTTCGCGGCACGGAGGGTCCCCTGGCCTCCCGAAGAGGGCCGGAGACCAAGAAGTCGTGGGTCTAGGCTGAAGGGGCGAGGAGTGGGTGGCGAACAGGGTCTCTCGCAGTAGAAGATGAACTTAGCAGCCGGGCCCTGTCCTCGCCCCTCGGAGCCAGGGAGGCGAGGGCATCGCCGAGGAGATGGGGAGCCTGGGGACCCCGCGGGCTCCAGGACTCCGTGGCGGCCGGCACTCACCGAAGGCTGTCCCAGCCTGCCTCGACCTCAGAACACTCGGGGACAACTTCTCTGGCTGTGCCCCTTCTTAAGGGTCAAGCGGCCGCAGGCCAGCCCCCAACCGGCCGCAGCTTCCGAGACTGGGGACCAACACCATGCCCGGCCCCTCGCCGCCCAGTTTCTGAACAGGCGCGCGGGCCAGCGAGCCGGAGAAACCTCCGCCCAGGCCTTGCCGAGCGCCCACCCCGAGCAGGCCGAGGGCAGTGCGGGATGCGGCGCGCTGCAGCCCCGCGACGTGGCACGTACCTTGGAAGCGGTGGCCCAGATATCGATAGCGGTGGATGAGCCAGGGGTAGAAGGTGGACGGGTCCCGCTGCTGCGAGGCGAAGAGGGGGTGTGGCGAGTGCGACGAGGGCAGGGGGTGGGCGGCCAGGGCGTGCGGCGGCGGCACCGGGTGCACGGGCACGGCGGGGTTGGGCGGGTGCGAGACCGCCTCGGCGAACACCAAGTCCGGGTTGGAGTAGACGCCCCTGCCGGCGGCGGCGGCGGCGGCGGCCGAGTGGAAGCCGTTGAGGAACGGGTTTATGGGGCTGGAGTTGGCGTAGCTGAGCGCCGCGGGACGGATGGGGTCCTCAGAGCGCGAGGCGGGCAGGGGACTGTCCTTGGCCACCAGCGACTCGATGGTGAAGCAGCGCTTGGGTGCCGGCTGGAACATGCTGCGCCGAGGAGCGGGCGCCCGGGGCTCCGGCTCCCGGCGACCGCGGCGCGCTGCCTCCGCCGCCCGCTGCCAGCGGCGAGGACGGACGAGAATTGGGGACTTGTTTGTTTGGGGTGGGGGTGGGGGGAGGAAAGAAAGAAAGGAAAGGAAAGGAAAAAGGAAAGGAGGGGGAGGGGGAGGGAGAGGCAACGCCGAGGATCCCGAGAATCTTGCACCAAACGCGCCCAACCTGGAGAGAGGGGGAAAAATCCTTCCAGAAGAATTTGCAGGCGTGGATTGGGGTAATTTTTTTTTTTTTTTTTTTTTTTGGCGAGATGGCGTGGGGGGATCGGAGTTAGAGGCGGGGGGGGGGGAGTTTCTTGGGGGAGGCAAAAAAAAGTTTTCTCTCCTCTGCAAAAGGCGGGCAGGGCGCCCTAAGTCCAAGGACAATCCATGGAAGTGTTCGCTTCTTCACAAGTTGTGCAAACGATTTGTTAGTTCATGAGCCTAATTAGTGCGGGGATCACATAAACAGCTTCCTCCGAAGCCTGGTAAATGGCTTGATGATTGGTCGCTATTACTCGCCCTGAGGTGGAAGGGGGGAGACTCTTTAAAGTGCGTCAGAGGGAGGCAGGCGCCTGGGAACCCGGAGGCCTGGATCCGGGCCGAGAGTGGAACGGACTCGGCGCCGCTGCCTCGGCTGTGCCTCCGGCGCCCGCCAGGCCGCCCGGCCTCTCCGCGCCCTCGTCCCGCGCTCCCGGCTCACTCGCTCCCGCGGCGCCCGCTGCAGCTTCTCCTCCGCCTCTTTCGCCGCCTCCTCTGCCTTCAGCTTCTTCTCTTCTTCCTCCTCCTCCTCTTCCTCCTTCTTCCTCTCCTCTTCTTCCTCCTCCTCTTTCCCCACCTCCTCTCCCTCAGCCACCGCCTCCTCCTCCACCGCCACCACTCCCTCCGGGGCACCCCGGTCCCTGCAGAGTCCCGGCCGGCGGCGCCTCGGCTGCAGCCCCCTGGATCCTGAGCCTGCCGAGCCCGAGCTGGTAGGACAGACGGACAGACAGACACGCAGATTCCTCGCGCCTAGCGCTCCGCCGCGGCCCCGGGTCAGGGGAGCTGGGATCGCCCCCCGAGTACCGCGAGGGTAAGCGGGCAGGGGCTGGTTCCGCGCGAGGGGTAACGGAGCCGTTTGGTTATACTGGTCCTCACCCCCAGCAAAACGCCTGGCGGTTTCCTAGGTGAGGAGGGAGCCTGGGGGCTGAGAGAGGGGTCCCCCAACCGCGCGTAACCTAGAGGTCCTTGGGTCGCTGCGTTCGCGATCCTTGACCCGGCTCGTTCGTTTGCAAGTTGAGACGGGAGTCGACGACCCTGCCGGGGCTATGGGCTTCCAACTCGCCCCACAGGCTCTGGCGTTTTCTCTCTGGGAGGGTGCTCACTTCCTTCTTAAAAACAGTTTCTTCTGTATTATCTGGACCGGGGGTCCAAAGTCAGAGGAGAAGCTGATGTGGTGCGACTATTATCGTTCCGTTGTCGTTATTGCTTGTGTTAGTGTTGTCATTGTTATCATTACTGACGCTATTATTATTTCCATCATTCTGCCATCTGTCGTCCCAGGGGCGGGTTGCTTTGCTAACCCAGGGCTCGAAACTAGGGACGGCAGATCGCGTCTCCGGTCCCGGGCCGTGTCCGCATTTTCGAGCTTGCCTTCGGTTTTGGGCCGATTTTAGGGCCGAGTTCCCTCGTCGCGATTGGCTCACGCAGCGGTATAATTATGATCACATCCCCCAGGCTGCTGGCGCTGCTTTCTGTTTATTGGTGGTTAAAGATCTATTATCTATTCATCAGCCGCCTCTTTTTTCCTCTTTTTTTTTCTTTTTGCCAATTACATTCTTCCAAAGTGAAGTACCAGCAGGTATTTTGCACGTTTACAATTAATGATTAAAAAAAAATCTGGCGTCCTTTAAATCTATTACTTGGAAGCCCATGTCATTTCTCTTAAGTACGAAGAAATGCCTGTGTTGGTGACTAGGTTGCCGTGAGACCCTCGAAAAGTCCACTGGGAGGGGGAGAAGAGCGCAGTCGATGGAGCGAGGCTGCAACACCACCAGATTCATCAGTGGAGGCTCCCCAGGTCTTAGGACGTGCTACACACCCCCTTCGCCAGCTACCCCCTTTCCTGCCCTAGGGTCTTCCCTGACCCTCTCTGGTTTCATCTGCTGTGTATTTACGTTCATGTCAATTTCTCACTTCTTTATTCCAGGCATAGTTTGTGTTTGGGGGGAGGGGGTCCGAAAACCCCTTTTGGAAAACCCTCCAGGCAATAGAGGAGTTAGAAGTGTGTTTTCTGAGGTTGTCTGGGCGCCTGACCTTAGTGAGGGGCCAACAGGGGTCATCTGCGCTGTCCCTCAACCTCCCTGAGGCACACACACATGCAAACATTCACACCGAGACAGGTGTGGGCCTGGCGTTGCCCTCACACTCAGAGAAACCTGTGCCTGCCTCAGGTTGCAGACCTCTGACTCCAGCTCTGGGCTAGGGTTTTGCTGCTTGACGGGTTCTCGTGGCCTTGCTTTGCAGGCATCCCCCCATCCTTTCTCCCAGGCCTAAGGATACAGGGTCTTTGATCCGGCCTCTTGGGGTGGGGTGCAGTCGAAGAGGCACCTTCCTGGGGTCTGAATTACCACCTCTGAAAATGTTGTCTCCAGTTCAGAAATCCTTCCCTCAGTTAGGCTGTGGGCACAGAAACCTGATGCTGCCCAGGCCGGCAGGGAGCCTAGAGCCACCAGGAACAGTGGAAGTCTTTTGGTTGTGCCAGCCAGCCGTGGAGCCTGGAGTGGAGGTAGAGGTCAGCCCGCTATTTCTGAAGCTGGAAAGAAACACTCTGTTCAGGCGGGCTGTAGATCCCAGATCCTGGAGAGGGAGGGAGAGGGCCCCTTACTCCCTGGTAGGTTCTCCAGGAGGGCTGGGGAGTCAGGCTCCAGCCTCTACCTCAGGCCAGGCCCTCAAAACTCGGCCTGAAACTCCAGGTGGAAAATTGGGAGCACTCAAAGCCTGCCCTGACTGCAGGGTGGAGAATGACCATTCATTGCACAGTTGGTACTAGTGATCTTGGCTCAGGGCATGAGAGGAATTGACCTTGAGGGCAAAGGGGGGGTCCAGTCAGCGTTTGGGAGGTGGGGTGAGGCCCACTATAGTGACGTGTATGGGCATTTGCCCTCCTTCAAAACTCTAGGGCTGAGCACTAAGGTGTTGTCAGTACCCCCTTAAAGCCTTTCTCCCTTTGCCTAGAAGGTGTCCATAGAATGTCCCAAGGGAGGGAGCCACAGTCTGGAGCCCAGCCCCCTCAGCCTCCTGCTGGAGGCAGGAACATTTGGCTGGGGCAGAGGGCCCAGGCTCCTCTGAAGCTAGTCTCCCTTCCTGCAACCCCCTCAAGCAGGCCATCCGCCTCCTGCAAACCTCCTTGAGAAGGCCAGGTTTGCCCCGTGACTCTAGCTGTCCCGCAGGTGGCCGAGGGTAAGAGCCAGCAGGCTCTGGTGCCTGCCCTCCCGGCGGGCAGAGGACGCCAGTTCCCCTGCCTCCTGCGCCTCTAGCCCCAGGCGGTGTCGGCCCCCACAAGGGAGAAGCAGGTTTCCAGTGAATCAGGGGCCGCGTGGAAGCCCTGGAAGCCGGATAATCTATGCTAATTCATGCGCCCGACCTGAGGAGCTGGGGAAGGTTCCGAGCTGCCAGGCCCCGACGTGCGGGGGAATTAACTAGGAGAGTAACTCATTAACCAAACTGGCGGGTGGAGGCGCGCCAGGGCGCTGGGCACTCTGGTCTGGACTCGGACCCCGAGCTGCCTCTGGCCCCCGCTTCTTGGACCTCGCGGCTGCACTCACTTTACTCACTCACTTTACTCGTGGCTTCGCCCTTGCAGAATCCGGCCCCTCTTTGTTCCTTAGATGCCCTGGAAGGGCGAGTATTTGGTTCAGTACCGCGTGCCATGGGAGATGGGGAGATTTCTGAGGCTCCATCTTAGAGGGCAGGCCTCCCTTCCCCCAGCCCCCAAGCCACCGCGGTTGGGCTCTGTAGATTCAGGAATCTACACTCTTGCGGTAACTGGGCTAGCAGACACATGATGTAGGTTCGAATCTCAGGTCTGTCACTTACTGCCTGGGCAATCTTGGGCAACACGGCAACCTCTCCCGACCTCCATTTTGTCGTCTGTGAAAATACGGCCCATGCTGCCTGCGGGGCAGTGGCGAGAAGGAGTCGGGCCTGTTTGGGGGAGCATAGAAATCTACTTCCGGATTGTGGTGGTAATTACACGTCTGTATGCGTTTTTCAAAACTCATAGAACTGCATACTAGAAAGGATGAATCTTAATGTATGGAACTTATACCTAAGTAAACCTGCCCTCCCTCCCAAAAAAACCCAGTCCAGCCTGAATGACCTTGGACAAGTTACCTAACCTCTTATGACTCTGTTATCTTTTCTGTGAAATAGGGATAAATAATAGCATCTTGGCCCTTGGGGTTGTTCAACAAGATAAACCAAGCAAAATGCTTAGACAGTGTCTAGCCCATAATGAATGAGCTGTAATAAAAGCTCTTGTCCTTGATGTGGCTGTAATTATTATTGCCTACCCACCTCTAGGGCTTGTGGCTGGACTTCAAGACTGAACAATGAAGTTGTACAAACATCAGCTACTGCTGGTCTCACACTCCTGCCAAGAGCTCCTCCCTGCTCCCTTAAAGGCCAGGGACTTCCTTAGGGCCGTGTTGGGGTGAGAGAGGCCTGGATTCCTGGCTAGTGGGAGGCATCAAAGGGCAGAGATTTCTGGGGATCTCCCATAACCATTTGCTCTGGGTTTCCCGCCAGGCCCCCTACCTTTTGGGGAGCAAACAGCAGTGCTTTCCCTGCTAGGCCTACGCGATAACGGGGGTGGGTGCATAATCTCGTGCAACTCAAAATAGATGCCCAGGTGCTGCCTGGAGTCACTACCTGTGTGCCCTTCACCTGCTTGAGCCTCGGTTTTCTCGTCCAAGAAGAGAAAATATCAGTATCTTAGTTGTTGAGAGGAGTAAGTGAGCTAACACTCGGCACAGTTACCGTTCTTCAAATATTGGTTAACGGCAGGCCCTGGCCCTGGCCCTGGCCCTCTGCGGTCCGGCCCACCGGGAGCACTCCGCCACAGCCAGGGCGCGGCGTTTAGGACCCTCCCGGTGAGCCGGTACCGCGAGTCCGCACGGTGCGCGCGTCAGGTAGCGCGGGAAGCGCGGACGTCAGTGAAAGATGAGCCCTTTCCTGGGTCCGGGGATAGAGGAAAGGTGTCCCGGGGTGGGGAGACACCATCCCCATCCCAGTTGGAGCCGGGTTAAGAATTCCTCCAACCCACTGTGATTCTCAGTCACCCGGCTTCTCCAAACGCGTCGGGAAAACGAACAGAAGAATTAATACCTTAAAAACTTTTTAAAAATTATTACGGCAAATCCCTTTCTGGCGTCCTCCCAGAGGCCGCTCCCTGGGCCGGCGCGGCGGCCGGGGACCCCGATCCGCGTGCGCGCAGCGGCGCCTAGTGGCGAGGGCCGGGCGCGGGCGGGATACCCGCTGAGCCCCTGAGCCCCGTGCGCCTGGGGGGGGTGCTGGGGTTGCGCCCCACTGCCAAGATCTTGCTGCAGCCGCAATCTGGGTCAGGAAAGGAAGTCTAAGGAGGCTCAGTGGCCACTGAGAAGAGAGGACGACTTGGAAATGCGTCCCTCCTCCCTCCATCACTGCAGTTCTCCGCTTCCGAGTTCACCATTCACGCCAGTATTCCAGCTCCACAAGGAGTCCGGCTTCCTTCCGAAAGGTGCAAGGAAGGGCGGATAGGTTCTGCCCCAAAGGACGGCGTGGCACTGATCACCTCTGCCGGGGCGATGGCTAGCTACCGCGCAAGTGAGGCCACAACTCCATGCCTGAGGTCCCAGATCCTTCCGCCAGACCACAGCGGCTCAGAGAATGGGCCCAAGATGTCCCGCCTCGGGTGGAGTCGAAAGAGCTGGGGTCTTCGGGTGCGACTCGCCCAGCTTCGCGCCCCCTCGTGGCCGGCCAAGGACGCCCCGAGACAGGGTCCTGGGGGTTATCGCAGAGGTGGCGATTGATCACCAACCGGATTGGACAACC